AGAGTTCATAAATTCAATGTCATGCACCTACAGTATGCTGCAAACTCATTGGAAACATAACTGTTTTTTGTAGGAAAACTTAAGAGTTTTTCAGAGCAACTAGCAGACACTTCTGGAGTCTGTTCATTGTGAAGGGCCTTTCCATCTTGTACACCTGTAATAGCATCCTAGCTGCACCACGTGAAAACCCAGCAAGCCAGGTGTGCTGTCACATGCCTGTAGTCCCAGCCACTTGGGAGGCTGAGGTGGGAGGATCACTTGAGCCTGGAAGATTTAGACTGCAATGTGCTGTGCCCCTGCCACTGCACTCCAGCTTAGGTGACAAAGTGAGACCCTGTCTAAACAAAACAACAACAACAAAAGCCAGCAAAACTAAATACATATTGAAATCCATTTAGGCCAGATGTAGTGGCTTCTGCCTATATTCCCAATACTTTGGTAGGCTGAGGTGGGAGAATCACCTGAGCCCAGGAGTTTGAGACTAGCCTGGACAACATAGAGATACCCCATCTCTGGGCGGGTGTGGTGGCTCACGCCTGTAATCCCAACACTTTGGGAGGCCAAGGGGGGTGGATCACTTGAGGTCAGGAGTTTGAAACCAGCCTGTCCAACATGGCGAAACCCCATCTCTTAAAAAAAAAAAAAAATAGGAAAAAAAAAAAATACACACACACACACACACACACACACTAACTGAACATGGTGGTGTGTGCCTGGGGTCCCAGCTAGCCAGGAAGCTGAGGTGGGAGGTGGGACCCAGGAAGCTGAGGTGGGAGGAGGGACCCAGGAAGCTGAGGTGAGAGGATTGCTTGAGCCTGAGAGGTGGAGGCTGCAGTGAGCCATGATCATGCCACTCACTCCAGCCTGGGCAACAGTGAGACCCTGTCTCGAAAAAAAAAAATCAATTTATCTACTTTTTACTTTTTTTTTCTTTTTTGCCAGTGGTTGTAAAATAGATTATGTAATCTGTGTTTTTCAAATAAGTTGTTTAATGTAAACAGTGTCATAGCATTCTTTCCTATATCCCGTTATTTTTTAATGCAGTAGAGTCTAATTCCTTACCATATTAGTAGCTAATGTTGGAAACCTTTTTGAGGCACATAACTGTACATGTTAAAATTACTTATTTTTTTGTATGTGTTCCTAGGGCTTTAGTTAGACTTACTCTTTAAGGGAGCTGAAGCTGTTACACAATCACAAATAATGCTTTAATGTTTCTGTTTTTCTTAAATTTTGTCTATGTAACACATAAATCATTATAATACATAATGGAAAATTCATGATGTGTAAAATGAAAGCCCCCTACTTCAGTCCCCAAGACAGTCAACATTTCCCCATTTTTTGTGTGTATTCTTTCAGCGGTAGTCTATGCATAGACATGCAATGATTATGTTTATCTTAATCTTATTTTTTGAAGATTTTTCTTTATGAGTACATCAAAGAGCCTCATTCTTCAGTATTTTAGTCTACAGATGTAAGTTATTAACTATGCCATTATTTAACCATGTCTACACATTCTGCTTATTTTCAGTATTTTGCAGAAGATAATTCATGATCTGTGTATCTTATGCCACAAGGATTAAAATATATATTAGTTATCCATTGCAACAAAATAATATCAAAATTTAGCAGCTTAAAACAAATATTGGGCCAGGCGTGGTGGCTCACGCCTGTAATCCAAGCACTTTGGAGGCCAACGCGGGCGGATCACCTGAGGTCGGGAGTTCAAGACCAGCCTTGCCAACATGGTGAAACCCCGTCTCTACCAAAAATAAAAAAAATTATCTGGGTGTGGTGATGCATGCCTGTAATTCCAGTTACTTGGGAGGCTGAGGCAGGAGGATTGCTTGAACCCCGGAGGCAGAGGTTGTGGTGAGCTAAGATCACGCCATTGCACTCCAGCCTGGACAACAAGAGCAAAACTCCGTCTCAAAAAAAAATTATCACCAGTTTCTGAGCCTCAGAAATCTGAGAGTGGTTTAGCTGGGTGGTAGTCTCGTGGTTTTCGTCAAGCTACCAACCAGGGCTACAATCTTTCGAAGGTGTCGCTGGGGCTAGATTTGCTTCCCACGAGACTCAACAGCTGTTAACAGGAGACCTCCGTTGGTTGTCACGTGTTCCCCTCCAGAGGGCCTTTCACAACATGGCGGTTAATTTGTCCCCAGGGCAGGCAACACCAGAGGGCAAGGCTGACGCCATGATGTTTTTTGTAACCTAGCCTCTGGAAGTGTCATATCAATTCTCTATTTTGTTACTTACACAGACTACCAAGTCTGCTTACACGCAAGGCCTGAATTCTAGGAGGTAGACATTTTTTTTTTTTGAGATGGATTCCCACTTTGTCGCCCAGGCTTAGCTCACTGCAACCTCCGCCTCCCAGGTTCAAGCGATTCTCCTGCCTCAGCCTCCCAACTAGCTGGAATTATAGGCCCCTACCAGCCCACTGGGCTAATTTTTGTATTTTTAGTAGAGACCGGGGGGTTTCACCATGTTGGCCAGGCTGGTCTCCAACTCCTGATCTTGTGATCTGCAGAGGTGGGCATTTTTAAGTGTCATCTGGAAGGAGGCTATCACAACCTAGAAGTTAAAAGCATTAATACTCTGAAATACAGCATGTATAACATTTAGTAGGATGTGCACTAGCTATGTTTTGGTAATACCATTAATAAGTAATGTTATTTTCGTCATCTCCCAGATTTCTGGAAGATTGCTCTAGAGGGGTAAAGCATCTTAGTGTATTTTCTGCCTAAATAAACTATCTCATTAACAAAGTTGAGAATAAATTTATTTATTTATTTATTTTTTGACAGGGTCTCACTTTGTCCCCAGGCTGATGTGGAGTGCATTGGCACGATCATAGCTCACTGTAACCTTTAACTCCTGGGTTCAAGTGATCCTCCCATTTCAGCCTCCCAAGTAGCTAGGACTACACATGCATATCATCACACCTGGCTAATTCTTAAAATTTCCATAGAGACAAGGTCTCACTACTTCTCTTTCTATGGAAAGAGACAAGGTCTTAAATTCCTGGCCTTAAGTGATTCTCCTACCTCGGCCTCCCAAAGTGCTAGGCAAATTTTAATCTTTCAGGCAAAATATTTAGACAGTATTAGTGGTTGTATTAGGGATTACAATGTACATACATTTAGAGTCTACTTAGAATCAATGTTCTGTGACTAAAAGTGGAATATAGAAACTTGGCTCGGCCGGGCGCGGTGGCCCAAGCCTGTAATCCCAGCACTTTGGGAGGCCCAGGCGGGTGGATCACGAGGTCAAGAGATCGAGACCATCCTGGTCAACACGGTGAAACCCCGTCTCTACTAAAAATACAAAAAATTAGCTGGGCATGGTGGCACGTGCCTGTAATCCCAGCTACTCAGGAGGCTGAGGCAGGAGAATTGCCTGAACCTAGGAGGCGGAGGTTGCGGTGAGCCGAGATCGCGCCATTGCACTCCAGCCTGGGTAACAAGAGCGAAACTCTGTCTCAAAAAAAAAAAAAAAAAAAAAAAAGAGGCTAGGGTGGCTTTATATTTATTTATTTTTAATTTTGGAGAAGACAGGGCCTCATTCAGTTGCCCAATGTGGAGTGCAGGCACAGTGACACAATCACAGCTCACTGCAGCCTCAAACTCTTGGACTCCAGTAATCCCCCTGCCTCAGCCTCCCGAGCAGCTAGGACTATAGGCATGGGCCACCACGCCCAGCTAATTTTTTTTGTAGAGAAAGGGCCTCACTATATTGC